AGAGAGAGAGAGAGAGAGAGAAAGAGAGGGAGGAAAAGAGACACGCGCGGCACTTATATTTATCGTGTTTATAAAAGAGATGTTTGGTGTGTTATTAACGTCTGTAAATAATTTCTTACTCCGGAATTAATTTACGCACACGCAAGAATACTTTCTCCAAAAATAGCGCGCGATCACCAATTGCCAATTTTTGCCAAAACACCCTTATAATTCAGAATCTCTACTCGTGCTCTTTCAAAAGATATTCCTGCCTCGCGTAACGTGGAGATCACCGCCAGAAACTGCCATTACGAAAATGCGGGTCTATGCCAAATGCACGGTATCCACTGTTCCTTTTTATCGAGCTTTTTGCTAATCTCGCGGAGACGCCAAAGAATGCGTACGCTATAGCTCGTTGGAAAGTCCGCGCGCGAGATGCATTTAATATAATTTCCAGAAGACGCATTTCATTTCTGCTCTCAGCTGTCTCATCTTATCACGAGCGGTGAAGGCAACTCTACGCATAAGTATACTCACAAATACATTATCCATTATTCAGCAGTTGAAACAGCGTGAAGGAAACAAGGTATTAACAATTTGCTAGTTAATTTATAATAATTTTAATGAAATTTTGATTTACTGAATGGTTACTAACTTGGAATCTCTCTTATTAAAGATATTTTAAAGACCGAATATTTTTATTCTAGGAAAAATTAACATTATAGTGTTTATTAAATTTATACCAATTTTTCTAATTTTATAAAAATTTTTCAAGATGTAAATATACAATTTTAAAAATTTTATTAAATTGAAAAATTTGAAAATGTAACCAATTATTGCAAATTGAATTAGATATTAAAAGCCTCGGCTTTTAGTGTGTAAAATCCGAAATTTTGGTTTCAGCTCCGTCACGCGATTTTGCTGCGCGCAAGTAGAAAAAGACTCACCTGAGGTGTCCATACGGACGGCTGGTGCGTCGCCCGCGACGTGCTCTTGCTCCTGGATCTCCAGATCTTCTTCGCCACCAGCCGGCTGCCGTGATGCACTACGCTGCTCGAGGACTTGCTCTTCTGCATCGCGGTGCCACCTGCGGAATTCGGGGACGTTGACGTGAGTGCCGGCGAACCGGGCGCCGAATGCGGCTTGTCTTTGTGCGCGTTGGAACCGTGCAAAAGGTGAGACAGGAAGGATTGATGATGATGGGATTGTTTAACCGGGGTGGACGGCTCCTCGGAGCCGAGGCCGGCGTCGATGCTGCTCCTGGAACTGGCGTTTCTGCTCGGCGGCGGCGACGTCGTCGTGTCGGCGTCCGACAGATTTTCGGACGACATCTCGCGATAATGCGCCGCCCAATTGTCCTCCGTCTGGCAGCCCTTGCTGTTGCCGTCGTCGTCGCCGGGCTTCGTGATCTCGCCCTTGGCCTTGATGTTCCGCAGATTCCGGTCGTAGTTCACCCGCTTGAACCTGTCGGTCTTGTCCGCGTCCATGGATTTTTTCCGCGCCATCCGCAGGTACCTCTTGATGGTGTCGCTCACGGACGGCGACACGTCGTCGTTGTCGACACTGCTGCGCCTTCGCCCGCTGGACTTGTGCGACGCATGGTCTTTTTGCAAGGATTCCTCTTTATCTTTTTCCAGACACGCGTCGAGGACATCTCGCGGCACCGGATCGGTCTGCACGCCGTTATCGAAGAAGCTACGATCGATGCTGGGTTCCTGAACGGCGATCAGAGGCGGCGGCGAGATCAGATCTCTCTTCGTGGACGACCAGCTGTCGGACTCCTTCGTCCTGAGTCTCTCGTGGCCCCACCATCGAGAGGACGGCGAGGTGTACGCGCCGGTCGCTCGGGGCCCCCGGAAACCTCTGGTGCATCTCAGATCGAAGTATAGTTTTTCGAGGAGCTTTCGATCTGTTAAAATATCGGAAATTACGTGCTCACGAGATGAAGATTTGCTATAGTAACGACTCAGCGTCTCCATCAGCGATTTGTGAACGTAATCGCCCTGATAAGGCAGCGTGGACGTCGCCACCGCGTCTTTTTCTGAGTAACCCTTACGAGGCGGAGCTTCCTCGCGCTTGGCCTGCGCAACAATCGTGTCTAGATGTTGCTGCAATTTATTTATGAGGCTGCGATAATCGAAAGGTTCTTTGCCTTCCGCCTGCTCAGTCGCCTGCTCCGATTTCGCGGCCGTTCTCGCCGGATTGGTCGCCTCACCCTGCATGTTTAGATACTTTTGCAGCATGTCAGCCAACTCCTTGGCCTCGGCGTCCTCCTGCGACGTCTTGCGACGCATCACCGGGCTCGACGGCATGCTCCCGTCACCGCTGGTCGACGTTAGCAACCATTCTCGCTTTGCCTTCGCGAGATCGAATGTACCAGACGTGGTCGCTTGAAGGACGAAGCTTTGCGGCGAGCTCCTGGCATCGTCGGCCTCATCGGCCGAACTTGCTTGCGTGCGATAACTGCCGCCTTTGGGCTGCCGTCGACGTCGCTGGGCGCGCAAGCCCAGGCTGCCCGGATACGAGGCCTTCCGCCAGAGCAGGAAACGCGGCTCCTTCTGACATACCTCCTGGAAGTACTGCTCGATCTTCGGTATGTCCTCGGGACGATTGTGCGCGCCGTCCGGGATGAGACGGCGGCCGGCGTCGGCCATATAGCGCCACGTCTTCCGCGTGAGCAGCCATCGTTCCTTCACGGGCTTCCCGGACCGCTTAGTCCTGCGGTCCCGCGACGTCGGCGGTGTCCCGCGCAACGAGCTCGCGGTGTCCGTGCTGTCGCGACGCGAGCGTCTCCTGCCGCCGCCGGGACGCTCCGCCATCGTCGCGTCCTTGTCCCGCCTCGCCACGCGAACCACTTTCGCGGAATTGTCGGTCCGTCCGGGTCGTACACGACGGGGCAGACACGCGCCAGGTCGTCCTCCGGCAGCGTGGAAGGATCACTGTACCATGCCAGACGGCGTGTCTCCTTCTTCCTTTCACCCACGATCTATCGCGTCACATTCGACCGGGGGATACATCAGGCGGAACGGACTTGCCCGCGCCAGGTCACCAACGTGCACACCACTGCACTTTGACACTTTGACCACTCGCCGGAAGAAACATCCACGCGAGACGTGGATCGATCCAGACGGGACGATGACGCGGTTCTTTCTTGGGCGATGATAATTCTGTCACCGCGCGAGATGAGGCGACTGGACGATCGAATGGCAAGCGCGATTGCTTTCGAGGAGGAAAACTCGGAATATCGGAAGTACTACTTATTTCTATTATATGCAACTTATTATTCAAAATAGGAATCTTTAGATTCGAAAACTTCGCCACTAATTAATCTTCTTTCAGCAGAAATTGAGAAGCTCTTTTGTGCGAAAACCGCTGTCGTGCGATCTGCAATGCCACGCGTTCTCCAAGCGGAAAAGAAACGACTCCGCTTGTAAAACAACACCGCGACGACGTCCTGACGTCCGAAACGTCCTCGACGTCGGAGAATCGCGCACGTTACAGTTGGCCGCGCGAGCCGGCAAGGTGGAAGCTACCTAAGGTACGCGACTACTGCTTCTCAGGGCGTCGCGACGCTCGTGGACGCTCCGTGTCTAAAAGCGTCTTCGCCCCTTCTCTCCGCCGCCGTCCCGCTCGCGTGCGGAAACGCGAGCGAGCGAGCGAGCGTGAGCGAGAAGAGGAGGACGCTGCGGAGACGACGACGACAACGACGACGGCGGACCAGACCGAGGAAGAGGTATAGAGATTGGCTGCGGTCTAGGATACCTGGGCCCGCCGCAGACTAACCGGAGGTGTAGCGTCGACGACGGTGTCGTCACGCTTTGCCAAATACCGACGGCGCTTTCTTGGCAGCGTATCACCCGGCCGCGCTGGCGTTTCTCGGCGAGACAGTGCCGGCTTTGACGAGATCGTGACGGCATAATACCGAATAAATATGACGAAGAAGCGTGACGTAAGAAGTAACAAGTTGCAAGGTAAGATATGAAGAAATGAATAAACTATTCTGTGCAAAATGTTGCGGCAAAAAGTAAAACAGCAATGTTGGAAATAATGAAAAAGCGAAATTTCGAAACAAATATAAAAATATGAAATATTTAATATTTAATTTAAAGCAAGCTTTATTTTTTAATTTAAAATCTAGATAATATTAAAATATTAAATATCGCGGAATTTTAGTAGAAAAAGGACGATTGTTTTCAACATTTTTACCCTGGAAAAATTATCTCCAAATATTTAACACAATAGCAGCGGGCATTGTAAAACTAATAATCGATAAATTCTCATTATTTTAACGATATAGTCGCGATTCGGCACGATTTCTCGGTAAATTTATCAAGTGACATTGCAAACATTGCGCGGATTTTATGCTAATCAATTATCGCGGCATAACAGAAGATCGTGTATCGAATAGATTAATTATCATTTTCGGGAATATTATTGTTCATATGCAGCGTGAATTATGCGAATCATTTGTCACATTGATGATAATTTCCGTCATTAATCACGATGATTAATTTCCATTAAAGCTCATCAAGCTCGTTCGATCGGGAAAATTAGAGCATAGATGTGGGTTGGAGAAAACGCCGGATTACCTAATGCGATCGCATTACGAAGACGCAAAATCCTTCTTTCAATATTCCGGCAATGACGTAGATACAGCGATAAAGATCGTGATAGGGGTATTGCCCGGTATTCTCGAGGATGTATTTTACGCCCGTGACTATTTCGGGACTCATTCTACGGCACACACAGACCGGACCACACCACGTGCCGCCGATATGGCGATCGTAAATCAGAGGCGAGTTAGCCGAGACCTGCCGGCCGCCGGACCCTCAATTTCTCTCTTTCTTTTCTTTTCGCTCGGAAAATCGACGTTTGATTTATCGCACTGAAATGTACGTCGTAGATGGCAAGTAATATCGACATAAAGAATCGTAAGTAAACGTTACCGTGCAATATGACACGCCTCTTTGGCTCCGCGTTACACAGGTACCCGTTTAGAAGGGAGACTGTTATTTATCTTTACCCTTTCTCAATTCGTACTTTTTGCGTCGGTGCACGTTGTTGTCAGAGACGCGGGAGGGTTTTTGCAGTAACGTCGACGAGAATGTATTTGCAGTGAGTAAACGAGTTTCCTCCGAAATTGCATCGCTCTTCATGCCGGTGGCGAATAGTTCGTAGAAACGCGACGTAAGGCAACATCAACGAATAATAAGATTCAGAACATTATCTCGGAAAAATATTTTTCCAGCGCAAACTATGTTTGCCGGCATGCGCTGGTTGACAAGGCGGAAACAAATCTCGTATCTAAAGTCCTTTTCAGCTTCCCGAAATTTTGATATGCTAATTTTTCGTAACGTATATTTATTCGTACGAAATTGTACAATGCAAAGACGTTGACATTTCTATCTGTGCTGAAAATCGAAATTTGTTTTTATAAAATTCTTCTTTAAAGATATATATCTCATAAAATTCAGAATATGTATCTAAAGCTCGACATACATACTCTGGAATGTCAGATAAATCGCATTTCGCTATGTATGTCAAGTTAAATAGAGGTGGAATTTGCAGAAGTTTCTTGCAAGATAATAATGCATGGTAAGAAGGCTGGTGATTTCCATGTTCCTTCGCAATATCTTCGCGCAAATTTCATCATTGTCGACTTGATAAGAAGTTTCAATGCGTTTCGACGGGTTCAGATAAGGCCCGTCGGCAGACACTTCGGCGTCTCGACGAGTGGTACGAAAGCGAACTCTAAAGATAGAGCGACTTGTGTCGTTCCTTCGCCTCGTTTCCTCCCTCGCTTATTTGTCATCGCTTTCTTGCATCATTTTGCTCAATTTTTCTCGCGGGAAATGCGTCTACTTTTTGCATCTTTAGATTTAAATTTAGATTCTGCTCTTCAGGATAATCTCAAAGTTTCAAATTGGCGAACATAAATATTTCAATGTTCTAATTGGTTTTTTAAATTACATTAAGGTTCTTTTGTACTTTCAGTGTCCATCCGGATTAGAATCTCGCAGTGAAAGAGCTATTGTATAGTGCACTCTTTATACTTTTACGACCGTTAAACGGTTCACATCCGCGACACATTACCGGTGTGATAGTTGATAGCAACCATGTTTTTCTCGATCGCGAAAAATGGAACAGACTCGTCGGAAATGATAAACGACTCGTTAACGACGATTGTAGGCAACATCCGGTGTTAAACCGCAAAATCCTTTCCCACATCCATGAAACAGCAAACGTAAAATATTTTATTATAACTATAATAATGCTATTTTCTGTAATAAATGAAGATTATATTTGTTTGCTTAGATATATAACATTCTTGCAAATTATAGTGAATTATAGTGAACTTTTGCTAATATTTTAAAATTTTAATATAATATTTCAGAGGATATTATTAGCCATTTTTTACGCAGAATATATTATTTGCAAAGTTGAAAAAAATATAAAATAATATAAGTCCGCAACGATAGCAAAAGATAATGTATCGTGAGTTAGCAGCGATAGCAAAATGTAACGCTTATCTTAAGTCGCTCTGATTTTTTTTACAGCTTTGAGAATATCGAAGTCGTCCTTCGAAGGTAAGAATTTCTTCGAGATTTAACCATCGGCTAGGCGGATTACCGTTTGATATCTGAGATTCGATTTCGGAATATTGACTATAAATGCGAACATTACACGAAATATTATACGGCAAGCTTATATAGTCCGATGCGGAAATCGAAGCCTTAACCATCTTGTGAAATCGATAATATCCATTTCACATTGAACATATATATTTATAATAAATTAATATACAAACGCTACATTAGACAGATCATTTGTAATTTGTTTTTTTTTTCAGATTTTGAGAGAAACTTGAATAATTTTTTGAAAAATGATATATAAATAGCAGTGCTACAAATAATTAATATATTTTATATTTTTTTAGTATATACTTTTAATTAACTATACAATTTGTCTGACTATTGTATTATTATAAAATAATCAGAGTGCAGAGATATCCTTTGATTTCGCTAGAAATAGCTGTGACATTACAGTGAAAATCTACCGATAAAAATCTAATTGCCGACGTGAATGAGACATTTCTACCGCGCGGCGATTTCCTGAAAGACCTTTCGGTCTCCGAGGTGTCCGATATGCGCCGGCACGCGCATTAAGATGAATCAAATCCCCAGGGATAGACGGAGTTAAATATCGCTGTGGCCGACAGCTATCTACATAATCTCCAATGATTTACATAGATAAAAACGTGCTATGGTGTTATCGTACGAGCTTTAGCTTCATCACGAACGGGGACAGTCAGTATCAAATGTTTTTTTGATTAAAACGGCAATTGCGTCAATAGAGGATAATGCAACTTAATTCATGTAATATCTCACATTTTCCAAACTTAAATAGAGTAATGTTTGTTACTATTCTATGAAATAATTGCAAAGGTTCAGGATTACCGTACTTTGTTTTTTGTTGATCTTAGCAAATTTTATGGAGATTATAGAATTAATTAATTTTAAGGAGATTTAGTTATATATATATATATATTTCATACAATTTTTCTTTATTTCAGCTCACAATCTCGCTAAAGGCAAGTGATTGAGATCGATGATTTGTCACTTTGAGAAAGTTACAAATTGTCGTCTCGTTCTAATTTCACGCACTTCTCTTAAGCGATTAAGCAATTATTATGAAATATTGTGACGGCTGTCAGTTGAAAAATTTGACGTAACGGTCTGTGTTTCCAACGTCAAAGCACTGATAAAGTGTGTATACGCGAATCTTAGAGTGATAATATTTATAGTAGCGTGAAGAGAGTAAAAAGTAAGCGTGTGCGAATAAATATACAATTCGAGACAAGGCTTAGCGAAGCTATTTGCTGCACGCTTTGATGGTGCGCTGGCCGCGCATTATAACGCACGATAAGTATAATATCTATTTGCCTATAAAACATGTAGAGAATAACATCCCTTGAATGGCTGATCGTAAATCTGTAATCACTGTAGCTCACATGTACATACACAGATGTTGTCATTAATCACCGTTCAAATAAATCATTTAATAAGCCGGATTGTTATTGTTCGCCCACGTGTAATTAACTGAATGATTAATTGCAGAATATATGGAGACAATAATGAAATTTATCATTATTTAAGGAAGAGTTAAACCCTCTATGCGATTTAAGAAAATCAGGAATAAGAGCGAGACGTTAGATGATCTTTATTGAGAATTATATAAAATATTATGGAAAATATATAGGGCTGCGGCAGTATTTGCTACTTCTAACATTTATTTTAAAAATTCTCTCGCTATAGATAACGAAATAATCATTAAATATTGTATAATATTAATCATAGCAAATCAAGCTTTTATACATGCATCGACATTTATCATCATTTTATAAATATTTATTAATATAAAAAGATATCGAGTATTTTTAAAACTTTTAGAGAAATTTTGAAGGAGCGACACGTCTTCCAAATGACACTCTCTTTGTTCTTATTATTCCTTTTCTTTCTATTTACGGTGTCCACTAATACTGTTGCAATTTTATGATTATATTTTTCTCGTCGTGTCTTTCTGATTCACACAATGTTGCACAATGAGAAAATAGAAGTGCAAGACAGAGGAAGAGAGAAAGAATTACGGAAGGACATTGGTAGCGTAACCGCGCCAGAATAATCGTCCCAGTGGCGTCTTTTAATCCGTACCGCCATACGAATCTATTTTCGCCGGACAATCGCGCAGAAATACGCGGATTGGCCCCCTTCGCGATAATTCTGTTCTGGTGCTCACATGATCGCGGCCACCACTTGGTGCCGCGCCGCATACGCCGCGCGTCGAGTGAATCCCGGCGATGTATCGCTTGTTTCACATCTCCCTACTGCCACGAACTCTCTATGCGCGACCTATATCCGTTGAATGAAAGAATAATCAACCGGATCATTGATAAAAGTAAGATTTTATATTAACGGCGATAAGATCTCCGCAGAGTATTGCTTCAAAAAATTTCAAATATTCTCAAAATTTTCAGAGAAGATCTGACGAAAGACGGCGTGTTATGACACGTTCAGGAAAATGACAGAGGAATGCAATGTCCGCGTGAAAAAGCAAGCGAAAAATCAGCGAATGAAGATCGAAGCCGCTCGTTGGAATTGATCAGCGGAACGCTCTGCCATTTTCGATGTAATTTCTTGACGAGATATGCGATGTAATATAGATACAATTCGATCGGCGAGACTGGGTTAGAACCCGTCGTACGTATTATAAAATGCGCAAATTATTTTTAGATCCGCGCAAAAATATCGCAAGGTCGCCGCACGCGCCCATGCTGTTGCCCGACGCAGCCGTGCGCGATACGGGCGAGTTTCTCTACTCCGAGAAGAGCTTTTTGTGCTTTCAAGAAGCCGAATCGCGAGATGCCGCCACTATGTGGATGAACATTCCCGATGATGTTACCATGCAGGTCCATCGGCTGGATGATTCAGAAAGACGGGAAATATTCATGGAAGTCTGACTTCCCGACCAACGATAGGATGAAGTAGCTACAAGTAAGTTCATTAACAATCATTTGATAGTAACTGTACCAACGGTTATTATACAATAATAAAATATTAGATTAGACAATTGTAATATTATAATAAAAAATAGATAAGAAACCTTCATGACAATCGATTTTTCGATCAAGGATGAAGAAATCATTATTAAATTTATTAATGATTATACGATAAGATTTGAACGTTTTTAAATATTAATTTATATAATTTTTGAATGGCAAGAAATTTTTTTACATGCCCCTCTTTTATGCATTAATATATTTAGTTTTAGAAATGCAATTTTTATTTATTAATATATTTAATCTTGTGTATAAATCTCTATAACTCGATTTTTAATATTTTTCTATATTTTTTTAAATATCTATGCTTTATTCTGACAGTATAATATCAAGTCGCACAGTTTGTTGGCTTTATTTATCGTACTAGCGAGCAATTAAGATTTTACAAGTCAATGAAACGTACGACGTGACATCGAATGATGCCGACATTTGTACCTTCGTTGGCATCGATTGTAGAGCTCTGCGGTTTGCTTAATGCTTGTGATAAAATTAGACGTTCACTAATTTTAGGACAGTTTATTCTGTCATAGAAGAATAGACTAACGCCGCGAATCTTTTCGTAGCAAATAAACATCAATAAAAATTTAAGCGAGTGGAGTTTGTAACTACTGCGTTTTCTGCGCTCCACCGCCTCGGGATTTCTATGGCGTGTGTGAGCTTAAGGCATTTAAGTAATTAATTTAAAGTTTATCGTACTTCCAGCGTCTCCGCGGAATGTCTCGGTCGACGATGAGTCAAGGAACTAGGATGATACACAGTTTAATTTTACTTATAGCCGAATGATGTGGGCGACCAAGCAAGTCGCGAATGCTACTCTATCACGTGCGTATTTGACGTGTTTGAAGCATTCGCGTTTCAACAAAAATCAATTCATGCGTCGTTCTATGAAAATTTCCACAAAGCACTGGTGAGTCCTAATCTGAAAATTTAATATCAATATTGTGCAGGCAAATATCAGTATCGTCTGTAGGTAGAATTTACTACCGCATTAAATTTAAGGGCACACTCATATAATTAACAAAAGATATGGCATTAATTAAATATCAGTCATAAAAATGCTATATTTGTAAATCCGCGATTTCAATGAAATAATAATTGTTCGTACTAGTTGAATTTTCGTGATTAGCGAACGATAGATTCGAACATGTTTTTCGAATCTGTTTCGCTGCAAGATCTAATAAGAGATCCCACCCGCAAGGCCTTTGGCCTTTCGTCGGGAGTGCACCGTCTGCACGCGTTAGCTTCGACCGAATGTAACGGCTACCTGTGACTATCTACGTACATCACGAATACATACGGCGCGCGGATATGGCTTATTTATGGATTATATGGTGGAACCTTTGCCAGAGACGGCGGAGCTCGGTCCGATCTTACGCGCGAGAAAACGACGAGGCATTGCCAAGCATCACACATGCCGTGTGTACGCGTAGTACGTGCGATCGTACGAGAAATGCGCGATTAAGCAGCTAAATTGCTGCCGATTATCGCAAACTCTCGGTAATTCTTGAATAAGTGAATAAGACAATTGTTTCGGTTTCTTATCGAAACTGAGAAACAACTGTAATAATTATTGGATAAAAATGAGCTTGTCGTGGAAGTAGCGCGTACGTGCTTTCAAATGAACAAAGCTAAAATGCGATGCGTCACAAGCGGTGCGGTCTCTGCATTGACAATACGGATATTTACAAATGAAAGACCTTGTCAGAGAGTGATAAGTCACATTCTTCGCCGGCGATCGTATCTCCGCGCAGCTTGCGAAGAAGAAAAAAATCGACAAAAGGAAAAAAAAAATTTTGCTGCAGTATTCTTAGTAGTACGTTTATTTTACGTATTTTATGTGTTGTGCTACGCCAAAGATAAAAGGCCAAAGATGAAAGATGTAACAAAGTCGTTTGCAAATCATGCGGGTTGCAAAAGTCATATTTTTCGCGATGTAGACCGCAGTTACTATTTGAGTAGCTATTTTTTCTGTTTCATAGGCTGTTTTGCGTGAACTATTTCCAGTTTTTATATTTATGATGTCCGGTTCCATTTTAAGAAAGTAGCCGCGCGAACGTGACAGAATTTTTGTCTAGGTTTGTCGCAAAATGTTGTGAGGATGAATAAAAGAAGAAACAGTTCTATCAATCTAAAGGAAAGCGGGCGGTGCGTTGAAGTCAAGGATATATCTATAAATTATTTATTAACGTAAAGTGATCAATATAAATTGACATAGAGATAAATTGAATTTCCGGCAATATATATTATGACAGATGTTATTACGCGCGAGGAAGTGACAGCTCGAAAATTTTCCTCGACGTATAGTGCGAGTTTCCCAGTCATACAAATTTCACTGGTTTCACGCGAGCGTGCATACGACTCACACGTACGCGCCAACACAATCTTATGAGTCACAGCAGCTGGCGAGAATCCATGAAAATGATCCTGGTAAATGCATAAACGGTTTCGACAGGCGATCTATTAACCCGAAATAGGGTTTTTCTACTGCAAAACATGCATTCGGCGCGCGTTTATATTTCAGCAAAGTCGTAATACTAAACATTGACTGTCGTAATAACTTACTATTTAGGTATATGACAAAATTTCTTATTCACAAAGTACATTTGTAGAAATGTATATGTTGATTAATTATGTTGAGATGAAGATTTTGGATAAACAAAGTCAGACGAGTGGATCGTTGAAAATGAATTCATCAGAAATCGTAAATCAACGCAACGCTTTAGTGAGAAAAATTATCTTGCAAAACTATATCTACTTCAAATGCGATAGTTTACTAATTTAAATAAGACGTAGTGATTTTAAATCATTCTCGGTACATTTTGATTTGCTTGCCCATATACCAGTGGAAAGGACATAAAATGTTAAACGGACTTCTACAAAATAGTAAAATTTTACGATGATTTCGCAATTTCTACGGTAAGCTGTTGCAGATGTGTAAACCAAAAGGTTAAAAGCCATGTCCCCGAGACGTGATGACAGCATGCGTCTCAGCATTGGCCTTCGTCGCGTTTACAATTTCTGCAACACGTTTTCCGACAACAACGCGACTCCTTGACGGATTTTCGCATTTGGAGCGGAGAACCAGGAAACTCGTCAAATTGGCCGTATAAACGGTCCCGCGGCGACCGATGGATTATCGAACATGTCAGTCCGTCTGACGTATCCAAAGCAGACCCGGGGAAATCCCCGACGCGAGAGAAACGGTCTTTAAATATATACGGCTCCACCCTCCCGATCAGAGACTGTCTATCACGTTTCGCGAATGGTTACAGAAACGGCCGGGGAGATCCAGATCATCAGATTGTCTCGAGATGGTTTACGGTTACGTAGTTCTTCTTTTTCTGTTTCTCGCGTCTATTTCGCTCTCGACGCTACGAATAATCATCTAAATTTAAACAACACTCCCAGTGACGTTCATACGTGTTTATTGACAAATGAGCTCATGACACAGCCTGTACAATGCGAGGAAAAAGTAATCGAAGGTCTGGATAAATAAATCGACGCTGTCAAATTAATACATAAATTAAATTTAATACTAATCCACATTAGACTTTCTCAGTTTTTGTATATGCATTTATAAAATCAAAATTATTTATCGTTTTCTTCAATATAGTTAATTAAAAACTAAGTTATGAGCAAAAATTTAATTTTCTGGCTTGTAGCATCGTTAAAATCGACATTTGTTGCTTCTTATGTTTCGCATATCTTATTTGCTAAAATGTGCAACATTTTTTTTTAACGTTGAACATATGCGCAACAATTTTTATCTAGACCTTCAATCATAACATAACTTGAATATTAATATCAGTATCTTATTCAATACATTAATTTATCTTATATACTAAATCAGCGAATGTTGCATCGTTTGATTTATTTCACGAAGAAAGGATGATCACAAAAAAGATATCTCGTCGTAAATCATGTCACCAATATTATCGAGAAAAAAACATGAGGACGATCTTTTTGTGCTTTTGTTGTCTTCTTTGTCAATCATGAGATTTTTTCTTCTCAAAGTAAACAAAATGGAAAGAGGAAGGAAGGATTTACACAGGAGAGCACGTGTTAACACGATTCCAAACATTTCGGCCACTGACCGAGCGCAAATGCTAAGTAAATGCTATTGAGAGTATTTACGATTATAGAAATACTTCATATATTAAACAAATAAAATTAGCGAACTATTTACACTATTTTTTTTGCATTGATAATTCAAAAATAATAATTGACATGTGTGTAAAATTCAAAGCATGATGTAATTCTACTTTTATTGCATCAGAAATAATTTGAAAATCTTATATTAAATATTATATACACGTATTTTGTTATGTTTGAGTGAATGTTTTGCACGAAGTGATATCATCGCTGCTCTGTACTTTTCACATGTCATCTGCGCGAAGGAAAGAGCGCAAAGAAACGAATTTGTAAACTACGAGCTGACGAAAGTCAAACTAAAAATTCAATCTAACTGCAAATTTCATCCGTCACGAATTTCTAAAATGAAAAAGTTTCATTGTCACTCAATGCATCGCGGATTTTGCGTGTCATGTATTTTACACGCATCACAAAAATCGTCTATAAAGAATATTGCAAATTTAGTATTTTACGGGTCCAGTTGGCGAAGGAGAATCAACATTATGCAAAATGTTGTCTGCACACAAGATTTTACTCCGTGATTCACGCGGGCATCTTGCTGTCAAAGACGGGAATACATAAGAGCTGTTGAATTTATGAGGCGCGCTGGAGTCTCTGACGTTCAGAATGAAAGCGACGATCCATTACCGAATTCCTGAATTCGAGCTTGCGGAAATTCTCTCTGCGAACGTACTTTAACATCTAATAATTGTACCGTTCAACGCGCGCTTTAATGTACAGGCGTCGTATTAAAGAGTCTCTCGATTCGAAATATATCATCGCCGACGGGCTTGAAAAGCTCACTTGGTTCCTTTGCGCTGTTCCCGCCCGCGAATTTCGTGGCAACTTTGTAAGCTTCTTACCAATAATGTGGTGGTACTTCTCGACGAACTGCGCCGTGCTTTGAATTCCCATGAGTGCCGCGTCGGTGTCGGTGTACCAATTGGATGCGGAATGTCGCGGTTCCGGCTGCGCGTACTTCACACCTGGCATCTGCACGAGCGAATTATTTAGCCAGTTTCTACGGTGAATGTTTCTCTAATTACCGACGATCTGCTACACAGAGAGATCGCCGCGAGGGCCGAGAGCACCGGCGAACACGCGACGCGACGCCGCCGTCTGACCAAGCGCGGGCTTGAACCACTTTCGCTGCCGTCTGAACTTTTCGGAGGAGCGACTTTGCGGATTCACTCGCGTTGGAGCATTCACCTCACCACGTCGCTTGTCCACTGCGCAGATGAATCACTGATTTCCTGCGATTTCTAGGCTGAGTCACAACGTGCACACAATGCTTCCGAGAAGAGAAGAAGCGTCGGCCCCACCGATCTGTAAGTTTTGTCGCCTTATCAATTTAATTCGCCCGCGACACCACGCACCGGCACGCGAACTCGCGGAAACTGCAGAAACGAAAAGAAAATGAGACGCGGCACGGAAAGTTATAAAGCGAGAGGCGAAGAATAGAATAATATACAGGCTCGAGCGCCCGCTGCGAAATGCTCTGATATTAATCAGAGCCTAATCGACGTGTCGGAAGAGAGGGATCGCTACTTTTAGACGGTATTATCTTCGCTCGTAAAATGGAGCAGTTAAGAAACCCGAGCAAGACAAATGCACTGCTGATGTTAAAAATTGTCGAGCGCGGCGTGATTAATTAGCAAATTTAATTAACCGAGTTCAACTTCATAAACTTAAGCTGACGTCGAGAGAGCATTTTACTAAATCAATTTTTTTTCAGAAGAAAAGATAACATAATCAATTTTGAACTAATTTTAAGCT